TTTGCAGGCCATTCACACACATCTGGAATCTCACCAAAATTGTTTTCGCTAATATCAAGATTAATCAGTTTGTGTAGATTACTTATATGTTTTGCAGCCTGCTCTAGTGATTTCAGAGAATTTTTACTTAGATTTAGAGTTTGTAATGAAGGCCATGAACCTTTACAGATTGTCTCAACTAAGCGATTATTTACAAGCAAATTATCATGGAAATCAAGATACAAAAGTGATGAAAAATATCTTGCCAGTCTGCATGGCACCATGAAGACTTTAGAACTTGCAATGCTGAGTCTTTTCAGTTTATCTACTTGTGTCTCTATACCTTCCAGATCAAAGAACAAATAAAAATCCAGAATAGTCATATTTGTTACTGATACTGTTTCAACAGAACTTTGCCCACTACTTGCAATTTCTTTTGTATCCCATTCTCCTTTCCCCTCAAGCACACAATCTATTGCTTCTAACTCTCTCAAAGATGTGATTTCCTTCAATAACACTGCTATTCGGCTAATGTATTGATCTGTGAATGAAGCACCAGTAAATGTGAGTTTTTGTATAGTCGAAGGAAGAGTAGAGTTCTGAATCAGTTTTTCATTTTCAATATCTAATTTGATCTCTCTAACTTCTAACCAAATGGCAGAGTGCAGAAGGTCCCTGATGACTGCTGAGAATACATCAATCCTTCGCACGCTTATGATCATGTGATTTATCTTCCTAATCGATTTCAGACTTCCAGGTTCGTACTGACTGAGATTGCCACCGTCAATCTTCAGCGTGTTGAGAAACGGAATGCCCTCAAAGTTTCCTTGCCTGATGATGGAGAAGTGTGGGTTGCCCAGGTGGAGGGAGTTCAAGTTTCTCAGGCTGGAAAAGGGGGAACTTCCTCCCAGGTCGCTGTAGGAATTGCCTTGAATGCGGAGGTGCTGGAGCGAGAAAAGGGGCCCAAACCACACCGGGGACAAGTGAGCCAGGCTGTTATTTGACAAGTCCAAGAGCTCCAGTTTCCCCTGGGAGGCAAACGAGTCCTCGTCTATGGAGCTGATTTGGTTGGACTGCAGCAGCAGGGCTCTCAGGTTCACAGCCTGCTGCAGATCATGTGCCCGGATCAGCTTTATCCTGTTGTGGGCCAGGTTTAACGCCGTGATTTTGCCCGTGAGCCCCGAGGGAATGAAGTCCAAACCCATGGAAGAGCAGTTGCAAGACTGAGTGGCATCGCAAGAAAGACAGGCCTGTCCCAGGGCTTGTTCTTCAGGGAGGAGTGCAGCCAAGGCTATGTAGATCACCCACACTTGCCACATCAGCTTAGTTGCTGGTTTCTGTTTACTTTGGTTGAACATTTTGCTGTAGTTAACAGAAAGGATAAATGAGGAGTTTTGAACTTGTTTTTGGATAGCAACTTGTAACAATTAAAATCCTGTGCAATTTTATTAGGAAGGAATTTTATTAGGATTATTTTTATCAGATTCAAATTTTATCTGTAAGAGATCCAGTGATGTTTATCTTTCTCTCCTATTTCAGCTGCCTAAACTTGAAAACATGGCAAGCCATTTGTTTCAGAGTTACAGCCACATAGTGTCTCAGCAGCCATGAAGGCCATTCTTAAAGTCCTTCATGCAGACATCTTACAGCCCCTGCCTCCTCACTCTTTCGCATTACATCCTCTCACAGGAACAAAGCTACAATGCTATGTCTCAATCCTCAGCAGGAAAAGACAGTTAGAGACACAGCCATTGCAGTACTAGTCTGTCAGCCGGGTGCTGCCACCAGGAAGTCACAAGCCAGAAATCAAAAAAGGCATCGGACTGACTTGCAGTCCACGCCAGCCCTTTGAGACTCTGGGGCTTACCGTGTGGCAAACCTTGCTGAAGAGATCCTGGGGTCTCCCACAGCGGAGCCTCAGGACTTCTAAAGAGCAAAGCTGAGTGCACTCCTGGCACACCCTTTTAAACACTCTGCAAGCAATTTACTTTCTTTATCAGAAAGGCTGAACAAGCTGATACCCAATCCAACAACTCTGCCCTTTTTGGTAAATCAATGTTGGGAACAGATGAGAATTAGACATTACCACCACACCATCAACTAACATAATTAGAACAATACTGATATTAATTTACAGAGGGGCTGTGTTTTCCTGCTATTGGTGCCCAAGAACATTTCACTATTGGTTACACCAGAAAATAAATCACTTATTAAAGCTTACAAGCCTGCTGAAAACAGTTTTGGTACTGCAGAAAAACAGCATCCCCCAGTCCTGGGTCTGCCAAGAGTAAATACTTACGCCTTGTGTACTGAGCATTGAACTTCTCTTTCTTCATATACCAATCTTGTATGGTTCATGTAGTCATCTCATATCTGCAATTACAACAAAAGCTGCAAATCCTATGGAAGGTCTGGAGCTACAAAATATTCCCGCCTGCGCACCTTGGAGAAAAGTTAGTGCTGACAGCTTTCCAATGCCCTCTAACTAATCCACGGCTCCTAAAGAGCTCAGGATTGCCCACCATGCATGACACTGCCCTTCAGACTCTGCTTTCCGTTACTTCTAGCGCTGCTGCTGAATGGGGACACAGAAATGAAAACCATTTCTTTGTGCACCTTCTTCCCTGCAAGTTGAAAGAAGCAGATTCCTCTCCTCCTGACAGTCAGTTCTCATCACTGGGAAGGCTGATACAACTATTTTGAACAAGTCATTCTTTCCCAATCACTTCCTGCAGCATTAGGTGCAGAAATAGTTTTGAGGAAGAACAGTGTTCTGCTCCCGTCTTTCTACTTTTGATATTTATTGCTTGGTATGCATTGAGGAGTTGTTAACTGTATTGAGACCTCAGCTTGTTTGGGCTCTGTAAATTATCTGTATCTTGCAACACATGTAAGTTGGAGTCAAGCTGTTTAGTCAAGAAGAGTACTGGAGAAACATTCATCATCCTTTCTTTTCCTAGGATGTTGCAGTCCTAAGTTATCAACAAGTAGAATCACAAGGTGGCTTGCATTGGAAGGGACCTCAAAGCCCACCCAGTCCCAATCCCCTCTGTGGTGGGTAGGGATGTTCCCCACCAGCTCAGGCTGCCAGGGCTCTGTCCAGCCTGGCCTTGAGCACCTCCAGGGATAGGGCACATACAGCTTCTCTGAGCAGCCTGTGCCAGTGCCTCACCAGTAGAAAACACATGAAAATCATAACAATACTAAAAAAAAAAAAAGGAAAAATACTCAAAAAGAAGACACAGCTTGAATAAAAGCATCCCTCTGTAAATATCCAAGGTGATTTTAAAAGAAGAGACATTTATCCTGACTGAATGGAAATAAATACCTGGTCAAATGGCCAAGCAGGGTGCAGGCACGAAGCCTTCCCGGCACTGAAGGGGAAAACCATTAAATTCAAACTCTGAACTTCCTGACAGCAACTTCCATCTACTTTTTCCGTACTCAGAAGTTGCCCTGTTCTGCTGTCTGCTTGCTCTGAGAAATGCTTGCCTACAGACAGACAGACAGACAGACTGACTGCAGCCGCCTCCCAGACACCTGCCCGGGCCCTGGTGGCAGCAGATATTCAACCGTGACAAAGTGCAGGGACAAGCTCGATAGCACGCCTCAGTCCCACTGCCTTAAAATTAGCATTGCACATAAGGGTAAAAATTCAGCACTTTCTAAAAGAGGAATTGAAAGAATTGAAAAACCTTGGTGTTTTCTGTTTGTTCCTTAAAACAGATGATAAGTGTAACATTTTTAAAGAAATTCTGCTCTGAAAAAGACATGGAGAAAGCTGCAGGACACAGCATTTCAGTGAGGAGATGCCGTGAGATTCCCAAAAGCTGCCGCTTTCCTCTCACATCTCTCAGTGGAATGGCTCTTGTTTTTCAAACAGGGAGGACTTTGGGTTATCAGAACACTTTAAAATGTTAATTCTGAGATTGGTGCAACTAATTCCTGTACATTTTTGCCATCAAAATTGCAACTCCTTGACAAAGTTTTTTAAAAAGTTCAGTTTGTGAAGAGGTTTGAAGAGACACAAGGGCCCTGTATTTCATTCAGCACATAACAATTTCTTGCATGCTATGGCATCACCACCATGCACCTGTGGCGATCTGAAGTAGGGGTCAGCTTTTGTTTCTTTTCCCATCAGCAACTTCTTCCCAAGGTTCAAGCTCAGCCTGCTCTCAGCACACTTCTAACCGGGGCCTCAAGGGTTTCACTTGTACAGAAAGTATAGGGTGATAATAGAGAGACATAGATCACAGTATGAAACAGAGCCTAAGTTTCTGGTTTCTTCCAGAAGGAGAAGGCTACAGGGACCCTGCCCTTCTTCTCTTCCCAAACAGCTTAAAAAGCCAAGAAATGAGAGTGAGAAATCTGCTTGTTTCCATGAACAGGGAAACAAATTCTATACGACTTCTCTCACATTCCAGGAAATCAATTTGTCAGGATTTATCAGGTTATCCAGAGTCAGGGAAGGCCTGAGGATGCCAGAACTGTCTCCTCCACTGCCTTGCAGAGGCTAGAAACCAGCAGCTGTCTCCCACGGCATCACTGAGCGCAGTACAACTTCTTTCAAAATCACAGTGGGAACAAAGTCTTGTCTTAAAGCAAGAATACACTTCACCTGCTTTTTCTCCAGAGTAACTGCGCTGAACAAAATTGCATCTTCTGAGTGCTTTCTCTCCTCTTCCATACTCAACATGAAGATATCATTCTCCTTCCTCCTTGCAGTGCTTTGAAGCAGCTATATACCTTGGCCACTACATCGCTTTTTCCCAGCAGAAGGGCACAGAGCTGCAGCAAGCCTGTGCTCTTGCAGAGAGCAGAGACCCTACACAAGCCTGTCAGAAGGCATGCAGAGCTGAGACAGAGCTGCAGATACTGCTTCTAAAGCTTTAGATGTCATCGTGCATCTGGCAGCAGCGCATGCAGCACCCATTTTCCACCACAGGCAGTTCCCTGACCCTAGCTCCAGCACTGCGACCCACATCCCTGCTGCTGGCAGGGGCAGTCTCTGACCACAACCTTCCTCCACCAGGCAGGTCAGGATATATTAGGAGTATGTATTAGCTGGATATGAACCAAAGCTGACATAAAAACATGTTTATGCTTTTGCGTGGGACAGAACCCCACAGAAACAGGTGTGCTGGTCAAAAGCCACGAACCAAGCAATGCTAATCTTCAGGTCCTTAGGAGCAGGCTCCAGCTACTGCAGGCCTGCAGCCCTTTCATCCTGACAGCGTGGTGCTGACCCTCCACAGGTAGATCTCTTTCTTTCAATTGCTCCCCCTCCACACTCTCACCTGAGATGACCCTGCAGCCAGTCCCCCTCTTTCTCCCTTTCCACCTGCATGGCAGTATCCATGCTCTAAACAGCTCTTGTGCTGCTGTTCTTCTGGGAGACTGAGAAACAAGGAGCAAGAGCATGGAGGGGGGGGCCTCAACAAGGGCAGGCAACACCCTCCCATAGCATAGTCTGGAAGAAAATGCTGAGGCAGCAGGACAGAGAGGAAGTCCCTGAGGCTGTTGGCCAGCCTGCAGCGTTAGCAGAAATGCCTTGCAACCTGCATAGGGCTGCTTCCTGGTGCTCACCCAGTGAACTGTATGCATGGTTGCCAGCAGCAGCAGGGCTGAGCCTGCAGCACCCTCCTCACCCCCTGGAGATGGTCAAACCTGTGCTCACAGCCTCCGGAGCAAGACGTGGAAGGCTTGTGTAATTGGAAGCAGGAGGCTTGGCATCAGTTCACAGGTCTGGGAGCAGAGCCTCGGCATGTACCGCTGGTGCCTGTGCTTTAATCTGCTTCACAGTGCTTCGTGTATTCATCTTCGAACTACAAAAAAAGAAGGAAAAAAAGGAATATTATAATGTAAATTAAGCAATGTTAACTCCATCATATTCCTCTTCAGGCCTACACTGGCAGTAGCTGAATGCCCAAATCGGCAGGCCCAGCTGAAAAGCAGAAGCACAGATTCCTCTAATTTTCCTTGTGCAATGTCCTCGCCTTGCCACTGTGGCAGAGTGCAGTAACATTGTGCAAGTGGTTGCATGCTCCGCAGCCAGCCTTTCAGACTGCCCTGTCAAGGAAGCAGTTTTTTTTCCCTCCACTTGCTCTTACCCTTTCCAAAAGCCTTCAGCCAGAAGAGCTTGAAGCTGATTTGCTGCCCTAACAGAAGGAGGTTTGCAAGCTATGACACAAAGGCTGACACAACACAGAAAGCTCTGCCTTCTGGCATAGCTGCAACAGCATGACTCAGTGGGAAAAAAAACGCCTGGATTTTCCTGGTGATTTTTTGCCTCCCAAGGAAGTTGCATCAATACAAAGCAGCTGCACATGAGGGAAGGCTACACAACATAGCTCCTTTTGTACCTTACATTTTAATAAGCAAACACAGGAAGCTGTGCTATCAGCATCACCTCAATTTGTTACTCCAGCAGGGGACTTGCCTAGTGTGCTGCTCAGTGTGTGCAAACATACCAACTTAGGCGTGACTGCTCCAAGCACTTCCCAGGGCATCCTGCACCCAGCAAAAGGGTCCCAATGCCCAAAGAGGACAGGCAGGTTGTGGTAGGAAACGAGGGTGTAGCATCCCAGCACTGAGATTTCCTATGAGGAGGAAAGAAGATTTCCCCTGCTCCAAGGCTGGGAACAGGAACATGCGTGCTGAAGCCTTTCACTGCAGGAAAGGCCCAAATGTTAATGTGCTTCCTCAGCAGAGAGGGGAGTGTGGACATGGACCTCATCCTACCTTGATACAATTAAAAAAGTGCTCCTTTTTTGGTGGTGGTGGTGTTGAAGAGAAACATTCCTGAGTACAGGATCGAGTTGCAGCAGAACCATTTAGAGTTTGTTTCCTGTATGGAGATGAGAAACACCATGCTAGGAGGCAAAGATACCTCTTTAACTGCTTCTTAGACAACAACAACAAAACAGATCTAACATTTGGACAAGAATCTGAGCAGGAAATGAATCAGCTTATTATCACATACCACATAAACCATAATACTATCAAGGTTTTTGTATTCATTCCAAAAAAGACACTGCCAGGATCTATTGTGCATGGGCAGTTCAGGCTGTGTTCAGCTGCTGCCTTCCTCCATCTCTGATGCTGTGAGGTACTTAAGATGTGACAGTGCCTTGCAGAAAGAGGAAACCCGATCATCTTGAATTTAGAACATCAGAAGCAATTTCTCTGGGCCAGGCACTTTTCTTGATTTATCTGCTGTCTGAGCACCATATTTTTTAAATAATTAGACAAAATCCAGCCTGCTCTCTCCAAGTTCTTGTATACCAAGAAAGCGACAGTTTTGCTGTTTCTGGCAGGGATTATTTCTATAGTTTCTTTTGCATTTGCATAATCTTCGCAAACCAGCTTTTTAGATGCAGTTCTAATAACTCAAGAAAAATAATTTCTAATCAAAATAAAAACCATAATAAGATGATGTCAATAATTATCTGAAAAACAAATGTCAAGTCTGACAGAGCCACAGAAATATCTTCAAGTAATGAGTTTTTTCCACTAAAATATATATTTCTGATTGGTCCCTGACTCTGCAGGCTTGGACATGATTGAGAACAGACATCCTAAGCTAATTTGCAAGTACACACTTGGCTAACTTGCAAAGCAACTTAGACAGCCTGTAGAGACAGCAGCAGGGAGCTGCAGTAACTCTACAACTTCTGCAGGTCTTTATCATGTGTAGGACACATGACAACACCTGCTTTGGAGTGACTTGGTCCCTAATTTGCAGCTTTTGGTTGAAAGAACAAACAAAATTAGGGAATGTTTTGATGTTGAAGAGCTTGGGGTTAGCAATGATAAAGTTGAGCATCTGTGGGTAGGGAGAAGGCACGTAGGGGCAACATCTTGGTGGGGTCCTGTTATAGACTGCCTAATCAGGATGAAGGATGGACAAGGCATTCCATGAGCAGCTTGCGGAAGTTGTGTGATTGCCAGCAA